AACAAAACAACAACAATAAAGTTGGAAAGGACCTTGGAGGTCATCTAGTCCAACCCCCTGCTCAGGCAGGAAACCCTGTATCATTTCAGACAAATGGCTATCCAATCTCTTCGTAAAGACTTCCAGTGTTGGAGCATTCACAGCTTCTGGAGGCAGGTTGTTCCACTGATCGATTGTTCTGTCAGGAAGTTTCTCCTTAGTTCTAGGTTGCTTCTCTCCTGGATGAGTTTCCATCCTTTGCTTCTTGTCCTACAAATTCAGGTGTTTTGCAGGATAGCTTGACTCCCTCTTCTTTGGGGCAGCCCCTGAGATATTGTAACACTGCTATCATGTCCCCCCTCGTCCTTCTCTTCATTAAACTAGACATCCCCAATTCCAGCAACCGTTCCTTGTATGTTTTGGGGCTGCCCCAAAGAAGGGGGAGTCAAGCTTCCATCCAGTTTTGGTCACCATGATGTAAAAAAGATGCTGAGACTCTAGAAAGAGTGCAGAGAAGAGCAACAAAGATGATCAGGGGACTGGAGGCTAAAACATATAAGAAAAGGTTGCTGGAATTGGGCATGTCTAGTTTAACGAAGAGAAGGACGAGGGGGGATATGATAGCTGTGTTCCAATATCTCAGGGGCTGCCCCAAAGAAGAGGGAGTCAAGCTATCCTGCAAAACACCTGAATTTGCAGGACAAGAAGCAAAAGATGGAAACTAACCAAGGAGAGAAGCAACCTAGAACTAAGGAGAAACGGTGAGAACAATTAACCAGTGGAACAACCTGCCTCCAGAAGCGGTGAATGCTCCAACACTGGGAGTTTTTAAGAAGAAACTGGATAGCCATTTGTCCAAAATGGTATAGCGTTTCCTGCCTGAGCAGGGGTTGGACTAGATGACCTCCAAGGTCCCTTCCAACTTTATCATCATCATCATCATCATCATTACTACTACTACTACTACTACTACTACTACTACTACTACTACTACTTATGACTGCTTTTCACACATGACCCTTGTAGAATCCTCCGTGGTCCCAGAATCAAAATTCAGATGCTCAGCAACTGACTCATATTTATGATGGTTTCAGTGTCCTGGGCTCACCGGATCAGCTTTTTGCGTCCTTCTGACCATCAGAGTTAATGGGGAATTCATCCTAGCACCTCAGAGAGCATCAAGGATCCCGTAACACGTAACGTAATTGTAAAAAATAATCAACAAAATAATAAAATATTATTATTTATCTATTTTATTTGTACTGTGAGGGAGATGGGTAGTTCCTAAATGGGATAAACAAATACATTTAAAATATCCCCGTACTGTATTACTTCTGAAAGCCACGCACAACAAAAAAGAACAAACACCACCCGTTTTAATCAATGTTTATTTATAAATGTAACATTTACTAGAAAAGCAGTTGCATTTTAGACAAGTTTCTTAACTTCCCAGAGCGTTTTAGAATAAATATCATGAATAGAGATTAGTGTAACAATTGGTATTTGAGCCTTTGGTGATCTCGTCTGTAACTGAAGCCCCCCGTTTTGGCTTACCAATCTTCAGCCCTATCAACAGTTTTATATTGGGTACAGAATTAATTCTAAGTAACAAGAATAAAGGATCACTACAAAGTGCTGAGAATGAAGTAGATATAAAAATAATTATGACACGGTTATGTCTGCCATCTAAAGAAATGGAAAGCTACATACAGTTTTTTGGAACCCTTAAAAAAAAAAACACAACCCATTACATTTATAATATTGCCGCATTGACCGTAAATCGCTCTTCAAAACACGTATTTAATATTTCAACTCGCTATAGTAAATGGTTACTTCCTCCCCCCCTCGACGCTGCTCTTAATTTCCCCCCCCCCCCAAAATAACTGAAATAACATATGAGTCACATTTACGTCAGAGTCAGAAAAGGGGGGGGGGCTGAAGAGCGAGTGATCTTCTTATAATAATGAAAAATTAAAAAGATGAGGAAGACCAGGGTGTTTTAATCTATGCTGGTGATTCATCAGACATTATGGAGAAATAGAAGTCTCTGAAAAAGAGAATATTGGACTGTGGGGGTCCTGAGTCCTTGCAGATGTTTCATGACCCAACTAAGTTACATCATCAGTGGTACATGCTATATTAGATACCTGAGCCAAATCCCACTCCCTTCCGACAATGATGATGGGGCCTAGTTGGGTCACGAAACGTCTGCAAGAAAACAAGCAAACTCAGAGAGCACCAAGGACCCCACAGGTAGAAGCCTGGATTGGGTATGTCTAGTTTAACAAAGAGAAGGACGAGGGGGGACATGATAGCAGTGTTTCAATATTTAAAGGGTTGCCCCAAAGAAGAGGGAGTCAAGCTATTTTCCAAGGCGCCCGAAGGCAGGACAAGAAGCAACAGGTGGAAACTAACCAAGGAGAGAAGCAACCTAGAACTAAGGAGAAACTTCCTGACAGTGAGAACAATTAACCAGTGGAACCACCTGCCTCTAGAAGCGGTGAATGCTCCAACACTGGAAGTTTTTAAGAAGAAACTGGACAGCCATTTGTCCGAAATGGTATAGGATTTCCTGCCTGAGCAGGGGATTGGACTAGATGACCTCCAAGGTCCCTTCCAACTTTATCATCATCATCATTATTATTATTATAACTGGTTAATTCAGATTTTGTAACACGTAAAGCTGGCTGGCCCTATCTTGTAATACTATATTCGTAGTGGTCTTTTCATTTCTGCTTTCTTTTATTTAAAAGGCATGAAAAAGTCAATTGACCTGCGAACACAGATCCTTTATTGTTCTGCTCCCAATGAACACAGGCAGGGCTTCGGTGGGCGCCTTCTTTTCTTCAGGAATTTGAGAAGAGATCCCAAGATCACTAATGGGATTACTTCTGAGTCCGCCTCAGAGGCAAAAGAACGCCAAAGTCTTTGTAACTTTGCCTAAGTTTTTTTTTAAAAAAACAGATCACATTCAAGAAGCCAACGTTATCTTTGGCTTTTTACAGACGTGCTGATCTGTATGTTTCCCAAAGAGCTTAAACACACCCAACTGTTGCAGTGGGTTGTGCCGAGTTGTGCACGTGTCACAAAAAGCCCGCGGTGATCAAAGACCTTCACCGGAAACCTCTTCTACATTCTGTCCTGTAAACAAGATGGTGGCTGCACACACACACACACACACACACACACACACACACACCAAAAATGGCAAGTAGAACTTTTTCTTTCTTAATTGTGAGCCTGCCTCGCCACGAGAGATGTGGTGAAAATACACACCAAACCACAATATAACCCAAAGTACACCACGGGGGGTGGGGGGTGGGTGGGACTAGCAATTCCCTTACCACCGTCTGTGCCGATGTCAAAATATGTACTGATGACAATTAATTTGTATTCCCCACTCCCAAGTTAAAAATTCCCCCCAAAGGTGACTTATGAGCAATATAAATCGTTGTAAACAAACAAAAAAAAAACAACCACATCCTTGTTAGTTGGACACAAAAATGTCTTTTTTTTTACAAAGCAGATGGTAACCGTGGTTGTGATAACAATAGCAATAGCACTTAGACTTATATACCGCTTCACAGGGCTTTACAGCCCTCTCTAAGCGGTTTACAGAGTCAGCATTAATGGGCCCCCAACAATCTAGATCCTCACTTTATCCATCTTGGAAGGATGGAAAGCTGAGTCAACCTTGAGCCGGATCGAACTGACGGCAGTGGAGCAGAATTAGCTTGCAAAGCTGCATTCTTGGCCTCGCTCCCCAAACGGTGGTGCTCTCACTTGATGGTGGACACCAAGAGTTGTCCACACACAGCATCCCCCACTCTAAAGAGAAATTCCCATAATTCCTCTTCCTGTTGCTTTTGTCCTTCGAGCAATTTAAATGAGCACACAACAGCTGTTGCACCCTTCCAATTAAATGTTGAGTAGCTTTGGATGGTCCCACAGCATCCATGTGACGATGGAACCAGATGGGGAAAGCAGAGAAGACTATGTTCCACGGGAAATCTGGGTCAAAGTGTTAACGCCAACTCCAGAACTGAACATAATTCTGCCATATAATCATAGCTAGACCGAGACTACTTTTGTAAGAATGTTGACCAAAGATGGTGAACTAGATACACCCAACAATCGCACCGCTAGAAGAAGACTTGAAAGACCAAGTTGGGGATAGATCCACTGACTACGTGGTTGCTAAGGGTCAACACCGACTCTGCTTTGGATTTATCATTATTATCATCATCCCATTAAGGGGTTTCTGTTAAGATGGATTTAGGATTTACTACAAGGGGAGCCCATTTTACACCTTCAGCACTTCTCCGGAGAGCAGACGGGGATTGGAAATTTGAGAGATCTCTTCAAGTTATTCCCTACCTGTGTTAAACAGGTGATCCCAGAATTTCAATTTCAGAGTTACTGAGATTCTCACATCATTTTAGAATAACTGCAAAGGGGTGTCGTGATATTCTTTATTTTCCCAGTTTAAAAAAGAAAAAACAGTGAGTTTATCTTAGTTTAGCAAAGGTCGGCTGAAAAATAGGTACCATCCGTTAGATCAGTGGTTCTCCACCTGTGGGTCGGGACCCGATTTGGAGTCGAACGACCATTTCACGGGGGTCGCGAAACAACGCAGTCTGCCATTTTTTTCCCCTTTTCCTTAGCTGTGCTACTCCCTTTTATTCTATTGGCTTTTGAAAGCCAATAGAATAGACTCTCTTGAATAGAGTCTAATTCTATTGGCTTTCAAAAGCCAATAGGAATTGTCCAGGCTTTCTCTGCCCTGCTGAGCCCGCCAAAAGTCCCAGTCTGCAAACGGTGCTGGACCCGTTGAGTAGTCGTCAACTTACGACCGGTTGAGTAGTCCTCGACTTATGACCGGTTGGGGGGGGGGTCGCGGCATTAAAAAGGTTGAGAACCACTGTGTTAGATACTTTGGACAACTGCCGAAGGTTTTATATGATTGGTTTTGTGAAAATGCTAACATTATATGCAGGTGATCTGTTATTCCAAGAAGCCTGTTTTTAAATTTTCAAAGACTGCATGGCTGAAGGCGCAATAATTTATTGAGAGGTGAACTAGATACCTCTAACACTCCACCAAAGGCAAAGGTTTCAGAATTACAATGTGTTTTATCAAATGTGCCTGTATTAAAAAAAGGCTACCTCTTTAGTTATAAACAGAAAAGTTGATTTTCTACGATGCTGATTTTCAACCTGCTCCCGTCCAACACAAAAGTAAATATATTGGCATGTTAGAGAACGTCTACAAAAGTTTACGTTAACTTAACCATTTCTCCGCTTCTAGGAAAATTAAAACGGAAGGGACCTATCTATTGCCTCTTCATTCCTTTCAAAATATCAGATGTGAAAACCAAGCGTGACCGATAATTTGGGAAGCGGCTTCGCTGGGAGGGGAAAGTGCGAGACTGTGCAGCCAGCCGGCTTCATACGTGTGACGTTAAGTGACCTCGGGAAATCAAAGGATGTATTGCATGAGGAAAGAGGCCTTTGAGCCTTTTGACCTAGCTTAAAGAAGGAGAGACCCAGAGCTACCGAGTCCGTGGATTTGAGCTCTTACAAGCAATTTGTGCTGAGCGGCCTCATGACACCAAGGATGAGGTTCTTCCTTGGAGAACATCTTACGCGGAACTGAGATCCAGGTCACAAAGTGGTTGGCTGACCAGCAGCTACATTTGGGGGCGGGGAGAGAGAGTGAGGGGGGAGAAATAAGGAGATGGGAGGGACGGAGGGAGAGAGAGAGAAAGAGAAGGGGAGAAAGGAGAAGAGAGATAGAAAGGGAGAGAGAAGGAAACGGGAGGAGGGAGAGAGAGACAGAAAGAGAGAGAGGAGAGAAAGAGAAGGAGAGAGAAAGAAAAGAGAGAGAAGGGGCAAGGGGGAGAAAGAAAGAGAGAAGGAAAGGAGAGAAGGAGAGAGGGAGAGGGAGAGAGAAAGAGAGAGGAGAGAGAGAAGGGGAGAGAAAGAGAAAGAGAGAAGGAGGGAGAGAAGGGGAGAGAGAAGGAAGAGAGGGAGAAAGAGAGAAGGGGAGAGAGAAAGAGAGAAGGAGAGAGAGAAAGAGAGAGAGAAGGAGCGAGAAAGAGAAGGAGAGAGAGAGAAAAGAGAGAGAAGGGGCAAGGGGGAGAAAGAAAGAGAGAGAAGGATAGGAGAGAAGGGGAGAGGGAGAGACAAAGAGAGAGAGAGAGAAGGAGAGTGAGAGAGCGAAGGGGAGAGAGAGAGAAAGAGAGAAGGGGAGAGAGAAGGAAGAGAGGGAGAAAGGAGAGAGAGAGAGAGAGAGAGGAGAGAGAGAGAGAAGGGGAGAGAGAGAGAAGAGGAGGGGAAGAGAGAGATATATATTTATTTGTATCATAAGCAATGCTACAAACTGAAATATATCATAATTAACCTAAAAGCGAGATAACCCTCCCCCCAAAGGAACAACGGGCTCGAATAAAACAAGACAAAATTTCCAAAGGCCCAGCTTCCTCCTTCTTCTGAGTTGAGAATTTCCAACTCTTAAGGGAAGCAGTGCTGTGTTCCCCCATCTCTATTCATGTGTGTGTGTGTGTGTGTGTGTGTGTGTGTGTGTGTGTGTGTGTGTGTTTGCACAGGTTCAAGCAGGGAGGCCTATCTTCCAGAAGCCACATTCTACAAACAGGAGGCAGGACCAAAGCATGGATTTCCACTGTATATTAATTCAGTTCATAGCAAGTAATGAAAATTAATGGCCTCGCTGATCTCCCCCTGCAGATTGCAACCGTTTTATTTTGTTCATCGAGGCAAGCCAGCCTCACGCCTCCAGAAACACCTCGTGCACACTTGCAGGCAACCCCGTCATTTTTTTCCTTCCAGAAGAAATAACTTTGCAAACACGATGCAAAAAAAAAAAAATTCCCAGGATGGAGATGTGTGGAGAGAGAGAGAGAGAGAGAGAGAGAGAGAGAGAGAGAGAGAGAGAGAGAGAGAGAGAGAGAGAGAGACAAGAGCCCTAAGTACAGGTAAGACAAGAGCCCTAAGTACAGGTATAGAAACTTACTTCTGGATTTGTTGTAACAATCACTGCAGGTCAGGAAGCCATTTTTGATCCGGACGTCCATTCCAGTGGCTGCGTCCCCTAGTTGTCCCTTACACATTCCACACTGTTGATTGACAAAGAAGGATGCGTATTTTTTTATTTAGCTCTCGTTAACTGCAATTCTAATTAGTTTTAGGTCTAACTGCCCTGGTGCCGTAACCCTTCTTCATTATGACCTTGGACAAGACTGCTAATTTTTTTTCAGTCTATTATCGACTAGATCAGGGGTCCCCAACCCCTGGGCCGTGGCCTGTTTGGAACCGGGCCGTGCGAGTGGAGAGCGAGCGTCCCCAGGCTCCGGCATCCACAGCACTGTTCTATCCCAGCCTACGTGAGTCCTTGTTAAGCTCACAAGGAGAAGCCCCTCTTCCAACAAGGAGGCTGAAACAGCAGGAAAAAAACAATCCCCTTTTATTATTCACAGAGCTGAGTTCATGTCCAAGGCAAAGAAACACAGTTCACAGAAACTCGATCCTCAACACGAACGGTTGCCTTCGGCCACCAGCACCTCCCACACCTTCCCTTTTATTATGAAGCCAAGGTGTGGCTCCCTAAAGCCTTCTCCTTTGCCTTTGGAGCCATCCCATTGCATTCCTCTGTCCTACTCTCTTTGCCTGCCAGCATTTTCGTGCATCCTGGATTTGTCCCAGCTGTTCTTCAGCACTTTCCAACTCAGACTCCCAGCACGGCTGTGTCTCAGCCTGGGCGCGAGTACAGGGGCCAGGCTCCTCATCTGACTGTAAGTCTTGGAGCTCCTCAGAGCCTTCCTCTGACTCTGATGTCACTCCAGGCCCCTCCTCCTCCTCCTCCTCTGATTCCCCAGACTCAGCTGCCGGGTCCACTGGCTGGCGAGGAATCACAACAAGCCCCACTCACATGAGCACCATGCGCATGTGCCCATTGCTAATGCAAATGCAGGCATGTGCCTGCCCTTTAGACAAAACCATTCCCTCTCCCCCCCGCCTGTCGGGCCACCGATCTGGAAAGCTTAGGGAACGCTGTTCTAGATTCCATCCTAGGAATGAAATTCCAGAATTGTACTGATTAAGGAAGATGACCTGGATTGACATCTGTCAGCTTTTACCAGGAAATTACTAAATCAATCAGCAAAATGTAACGAAAGTCCCTGGGGTTTTATTAGCTTGAAACCAGCTGTAAAATGACCTCAATCTCTGTGCGCATAATAAAAAGGATAAATCAAAGCAGATCCCAAGTTTTTGCAGCTTTTCCATAGCCCAACAGTGGGATAACTGTTGGAATCGGTGAGAAAGAAGAGGCAAACTAATTCATAAATTATGAAGAGCCATCAAGAGCATTGACAAAAGTCAACCAAAGGACTCCGTGTTGCTACCTAGAATCTAATCTAAAAGTTTGTCCCCCCAAATTAAGGACATCTACTCATCTTCACTAGGAGAAGACCTCTAGGTTGGCTAAGCTTTGGTCAGGAAGAGCCAAGACGATCAAGAGACACCTACCCTGAAGCACTGAATATGGAAATAAAGACCAAGCGATTCGATAATCATGGCAGCGCCTTTTCCAAGAGGGTGTCCACAGCTGGAGCAGAGCTTTTTCCCACTGATGGATCTGAAATGATAAAAACAGGATTGATGACTGAGGACAATCCAGGAACCCATCTTCCTAAACGCAAAATCCAGGAACCCATCTTCCTAAACGCAAAATCCAGGAACCCATCTTCCTAAACGCAAAATCAAGCTAGCTCTCTGAACAGAGTGGCTGAGCCTCCCACAAAGGGGTCTAAGGCAGGAGTAGGCAACTGTGGCTCTTTTATGACTCATGGACTTCAACTCCCAGAATTCCTGAGCCAGCCACGCTGAGGGGAAAGGGAGAGGTTTTCAAGCTGAGCCAAGCTGGCTCAGGAATTCTGGGAGTTGAAGTCCACGAGTCATCAAAGAGCCAAGGTTGCCTAGCCCTGGTTTAGGACAACTTACCACGGCCAACTTACCATGGCTAAACCGGCTGCGGGACAACCCACCCTGGCCAACTCACCATGAGGTGACCCGTTGCGGGACAAGAGTTACACTAATTAGGTTATGCTAGTTAAGAAGAGACTAGACAGTCACTTGTCCGAGATGGTATAGGTTCTCCTGCCTGAGCGGGGGGCTGGACTAGAAGACCTCCAAGGTCCCTTCCAGCTCTATTCTATTCTATTCTATTCTAATTTCTATTCTATTCTAATTTCTATTCTATTCTAATTTCTATTCTAATCTATTCTAATTTCTATTCTAATTTCCATTCTAATTTCCATTCTAATTTCAATTCTAATTTCTATTCTATTCTATTTTAATTTCTATTCTAATCTATTCTAATTTCTATTCTATTCTATTCTAATTTCTATTCTAATTTCTATTCTATTCTATTCTAAATTCTATTCTATTCTATTCTGTATTTCTATTCTATTCTGTATTTCTATTCTATTCTAATTTCTATTCTAATTTCTATTCTAATTTCTATTCTAATCTATTCTAATTTCTATTCTATTATAAATTTCAATTCTAATTTCAATTCTAATTTCTATTCTATTCTAATTTCTATTCCAATCTATTCTAATTTCTATTCTATTCTTTTCTAATTTCTATTCTAATTTCAATTCTAAATTCTATTCTCTATTTCTATTATTCTATTCTTTGTTTCTATTCTATTCTATTCTAATTTATATTCTATTCTAATTTCTATTCTAATTTCTATTCTAATTTCTATTCTATTCTATTCTATTCTAAATATCAAAGAAATGGTGTAATAGCATCATTAAAGGAAGGAGGCCAAAAGAGGGACAAAATGAATCGGGAATGGCAAAAAACAAAAATAACATTTAAAAGAAATTGAATTCTTGAATTGTCCCAAAGTCAGTTGGCTGTGTCGAGTCATCCCATTCCACCCATGAGGCCCCAAGTGGGACGGCTGTTGAGGAAAGTACGAAAAGGGTGGAGGTTCAATGGCAGTGTTGCAATTTCTTCTGAACTTTACTTCCGCCACACATGGGACTGCGGGAATGTGTGCTCTTTGGGAAAAACCAGATGATAACTATGCCGTCCATCATGGTAAATCGTCCTCAGGATTAACTTCTGCCTTTTACGCGTTCGGCTACACTTTCCCGTCATTTTCAGACTTTTGCATTTAAGGTTTTGCTTGTAAATCGAGTTCAACTGCTGGTTTAGTACTGTCCTTCTCAAGCCGTCTTCATCTTTCAGGAGTATAAATGTTGCACATAAAATAAATACAGCTCTGTACAGCTAAGATCCACCACTGCATGAATTAAACATCAGGCTGAGTTTTTAAGTCTTTAATTGGCTTGTAAAAGGTCTTGGTGGTCCATCATACCTGTTGGACGGCTGGCTTTGAACGGTAGGAGAACGTGGGGACGATGGCCCCGTTCCGGAGTTGCCTTGGGAAGCTGCCCTGGAATATAAAACAAGAAATAAATTCCAGCAAAGCTTCATTCATTTAATTAATTTATTTAGAAAATGTATATTAGGGGTGTCAAACTGCCGGCCTGCGGGCTGGACACGTCATCCCAAAACCGCGCCCACCCCATTGCCGGCAATGGAGAAAAAGCTCCGATACGTCGCGCGACGTCATGTGACGTCGCGGGTTTGACATGCCTGATGTATATCGTCCCCTCCAGCGACTCTAGGTGGCTTACAAACAATAAAAGCACAGTATAAATAAAATTAAAATAAAAATAAAAAACGATAATGCCCCCCGGCAACAATAGACAGCCAGCTAAGCCATTTGATGGGCTTCCATCCCACTCTGGGTTCCCCAGGCCCGCTGGCAGAACCACAACTCTAAGGCCTTGTGAAACAGTGTCGAAGTGGGGAGCCAGTTTAATTTTTTGAAGGGATGATATTCCAAGGGGAGGGAGCCGCTAGGCCAGTGGTTCTCAACCTTTTTAATGCCGCGACCCCCCAACTGGTCGTAAGTCGAGGACTACTCAACTGGTGCAGCACCGTTTGCAGAATGGGACTTTTGGCGGGCTCAGCAGGGCAGAGACAGCCTGGACAATTCCTATTGGCTTTTGAAAGCCAACAGAATTAGTCTCTATTCAAGAGAGTCTATTCTATTGGCTTTCAAAAGCCAATAGAATAAAAGGGAGTAGCACAGCTAAGGAAAATGGGGAAAAAAATGGCGGACTGCGTTGTTTGGCGACCCCCGTGGAATGGTCGTTCGACCCCAAATGGGGTCCCAACCCACAGGTTGAGAACCACTGCGCTAGGGAGAAGTCCCTGTTTCTGGGTCCCGCCAGAAAGAGGGGGGACCCTTAACACCCTCTGACTCCCTGTTGTAGTGGGTCAGGTGGAGGTAACTGGGAAATGATGGTCCTTCAGAATAGCAGGGAGGGAGCCACCACAGAGAAGACCCTCCTTCTCCAAATGGACCTCCTTAGCAAGTGGGACCTCCAACATTCCTGGCCTCCCCGGTCTAGTGGGTCAGGTGGACGTGAGCGGCGAGAGACGGTCCCTCAGATAACCTGGTCCCAAGCCATGAAGGGCTTTCAAGGTGACACCCAGAATGGCACCTGGAAGCAAATCAGCAACCCAGGCAGCTTCCCCGCAGGAGAGGTGACACATGGGCACACGGAGCAATGCACGAAACCATGCGGTCTGTTGCATGTTGGCCCGCCTTCAAAGCTTTCAAAGCAAAACTCCTCACCGAGGCCAAAGACCCAAGAGCAAGGTAAGCCTCCTGCTCTGAGTAGCTTCTAGGAAAGTCTTTTTTGATTACAAAAATCAGGATATCGGGAACAGAGAGTCACAGAAAACTCGATTATCTGCCCCAGGTCAGTTCTGCTGTAAATGAAAGGTTTATAAGCGATCAAGCATCACATCAAAAGGCTCAAAATGCACTTGCCTCTTCATTTCTTTTGGGGAACTGACCGGCAGGCCTAAATTATACCCCAGTGGTGAATCCTTCTGTCTGATGTCTGATGGAGAAGGAGTCTGCGCTGCTGCTAGTGGCTGGGTCCACTGCACATCTGAAAGGGAGGGTTTTGAGTTAGGGAATGAGAGCCCGAGGACTGTTTCACAAGGAAAGCAAGTCTGAACATTAGATAGTGGAGGAGGAGGAGGAGGAGGAGGTGGAGGAGGAGGAGCAGGATGGGAGAGAAAAATAGGGATGAGGAGAAGGAGAGAAAGAAAGAAAGGAAGGAAGGAAGGAAGGAAGGAAGGAAGGAAAGAAAGAAAGAAAGAAAGAAAGAAGAGGATGAAAGGGAAAGAAGAAGGAAGAGGAGGAGGAGAGGGAAAGAAGAAGAATGGGAGAGAGAGAGAAACAGAGAAAGAAAGAAAGAAAGAAAGAAAGAAAGAAAGAAAGAAAGAAAGAAAGAGTACGTAGAGGTACAAGATTAGCAGCAGGAAGAGGATGGAAGGGAAAGATAGATAGAGAGAGGAGGAGGAGAAAAAGGAGAAGAATTTTTAAGAAGAGACTGGACAACCATTTGTCTGAAATGGTATAGGGTTAGGGTTAGGTCACCATGAACTCCTAGAGCAAAATGGACATCGCCAACAAACTCGGAGTGCTTGGGTATGGTTAGGAGGGCACTGACTTTTCTAGCCTGCCCTATCTATGTTTCCTGGTAAAATACATGGGAAAATCCCATTGGAGGAAAATTCCACTTAGGGTTTCCTGCCTGAGCGGGGAGTTGGACTAGATGACCTCCAAGGTCCCTTCCAACAACAACTTCTTCTTCTTCTTCTTCTTCTTCTTCTTCTTCTTCTTCTTCTTCTTCTTCTTCTTCTTCTTCTTCTTCTTCTTCTTCTTCTTCTTCTTCTTCTTCTTCTTCTTCTTCTTCTTATTATTATTATTATTATTATTATTATTATTAAAGAAGAAGGAATAAGAGGATGGGGGAAAGAAAGAGGAAAAGGAGAAGGATGAAAGGGAAAGGAGGAGGATGGGAGAGAGAGAGAGAGAGAGAGAAAGAAAGAACGAAAGAAAGAAAGAAAGGAAGGGGAAGGAGGGAAGGAAGAAGAATGAAAGAAAGAAAGGAAGGATGGAAGGAAGGAAGGAGGGAAGGAAGGAAGGAAGGAAGGAAAGAAAGAAGGAAGGAAGGAGAAAGCAGGGAAGGAAGGAAGGAGAAAGAAAGAAAAGAAAGAGAGAAAGAGAAAGAAAGAAAGAAAGAAAGAAAGAAAGAAAGAAAGAAAGAAAGAATGGAAGGAGGAGTAGGATGATGGGCAGGATAAGGGAAAGAAAGAGGAAGAGGCCTTTTCAAATTGTACAGAATTGAACTATTTTGTCTTTGAAGGGTAGAAAAAGACCTATCGCTAAGACCGAGCTGAGAATATTCACTAAGAACTGGGTCGCAAGAACGGCAAGACAAAACACAAAAGAGGAAGTGAATTTTTTTTTTTTAAAAAAAAGCATGCTAGCACATTTCGGTAGTACTCTACTCAATTTACTGCTGACATTTCTAGAAGTAGGTTCAACTTGGTACATTATTAGACAACACCAGTGAGGAGAAAGCAGGATAAGTAACGAAAAAGCCGAAAATGTGATATTTGCAAAGTTTTTTTTTTTTCAAAAGCCAAAGCATAAAGGCACCGCCCACCTGGACATAACGGCAAAGACATTTTGTTGGGTGATCTGCCTTCCGAGCTAGGAACCTGATCTGCTTGTCTCCATTTCAGGCCTTCTAGATATTCTTCCTTATTCACCGTGCTGAAAAACGGAAAATATATTGTACAAATGTTTTAAATTTAATGAGCAAAAATCTCCCTTATCTCAACTTCTCCCTCTGACCATCTCTCATTTGGTGGTTATTCTTCGCTAACACATTTTTCTCACATGTGCTCTTTAGGAAATCCCTTTTTGCTTTTACGCACCTCACAATCTCCTCCCGTGGTTGATATTCCTTGTATTTTGAGAAGGACGCCCCATCTTGTTCACCGAATAATGTCTCCAGTTTTGCCTCTTTGCTTTGCTTATTATCCTCTTCCGAGTAACTTAGATCGATCAAATTCTACCGAAACAAATATATCGTATTATATATGTTGCTGCTTTAAGAATTATATGTAATTTTATGAGTTGACTCATTATAAGATATAATATGATGCATTATATTATAAGATTTACCTCAGAGGGCTGGTACGTTACTGCTTTAAGAATTACCATATTTTCTGGCATATAGGACGACTTTCTAGGCATAGAAATCGGCGCCGAAGTCGGGGGTTGTCTTATATGCCGGGTCGCCTTATACGCCAGAAAATACGGTATATGTAATTTTATGAGTTGACTCATTATAAGATATAATACGATGCATTATATTATAAGATTTACCTCAGAGGGCTGGTACGTTACTGCTTTAAGAATTATATGTAATTTTATGAGTTGACTCATTATAAGATATAACAGGATGCATTATATTATAAGATTTACCTCAGAGGGCTGGTACATTACTGCTTTAAAAATTACCGTATTTTCCGGCATATAAGATGACTTTCTAAAGCACGGAAATCGGCGCCGAAGTTGGGGATTGTCGTATGCACCGAGTTGTCTTATACGCCAGAAATTACGGTAGTTTCTGGCTTATAAGATGACTTTCTAGGTATGGAAATCGGCGCCGATGTCGGGGGTCGTCTTATACACCAGGTTGCCTTATATGCCGGAAAATACGGTATATGTAATTTTATGAGTTGGCTCATTATAAGATATAACAGGATGCATTATATTATAAGATTTACCTCAGAGGGCTGGTACATTACTGCTTTAAGAATTATATGTAATTTTATGAGTTGGTTCATTATAAGATATAATACGATGCATTATATTATAAGATTTACCTCAGAGGGCTGGTATGTTACTGCTTTAAGAATTATACGTAATTTTATGAGTTGGCCCATTATAAGATATAATACGATGCATTATATTATAAGATTTACCTCAGAGAGCTGGTACGTTACTGTTTTAAGAATTATATGTAATTTTATGAGTTGGCTCATTATTAAGGTGACCAATCGCCCTCCTTTAGGGAGGAGTCCTTCTTTTGTACTCATTTAAATAATAATTAATAGGCAGGTAAGCGTAATTACAATATAAAATGTTATTGTTGCAAATGTTTTTTATTATGCATCTATCATATTGTAGTGTGCTCTGTATTGTTGCAGTGAATAAAATGTTTTATTTACGATATTTTTTTCTTCAATTTATTTGGGTCTTCCTCCTCATTGTAAAAAAGTTGGTCACCTTACTCATTATAATATATAATATAATATATTATATTATAAGATTTACCTCAGAGGGCTGATATCAGGAGGTGTCCAATCTTCCCCTCAAGGGGCTTAATCCATGCTGCTGCAAAAGCTACGCCTTTCAAACCACAATTTGGTATCCTATCTAAGAATTCAGTCTCATTTACCATCTTACTGACCAATCAGCCCTTTAAAACCCTCTAAAATAAGCCCATAAGACAGAAAGCAAGCGATTTGATCTAGACTAGAGGTCCCAACCTTTTGGGCACCAGGTTCCATGGAGAGAGGTTTTTCCGTGGATCAGAGGGTGTGTGGTTTTGTGTTGCCTGCATCCTGGGGATGGGGCTGAAATGGTGTAGGGTTTCCTGCCTGAGCAAGGGGTTGGACTAGAAGACCTCCAAGTTCCCTTCCAACTCTGCTATTCTATTCTATTCTATTCTATTCTATTCTATTCTACATTCCTTCTCTTCTCTTCTCATCTCTTATTCTATTCTATTCTATTCTATATTCCTTCTCTTCTCTTCTCTTCTCTTTTATTCTCTTATTCTATTCTATTCTATTCTATTCTATTCTATTCTATTCTATTCTATTCTATTCTATTCTATTCTACATTCCTTCTCTTCTCTTCTCTTTTATTCTCTTATTCTATTCTATTCTATTCTATTCTATTCTATTCTATTCTATTCTACATTCCTTCTCTTCTCTTCTCTTCTATTCTATTCTATTCTATATTCCTTCTCTTCTCTTCTCTTCTCTTTTATTCTCTTATTCTATTCTATTCTATTCTATTCTACATTCCTTCTCTTCTCTTCTCTTCTCTTCTCTTCTATTCTATTCTATTCTATTCTATTCTATTCTATTCTACATTCCTTCTCTTCTCTTCTATTCTATTCTCTTATTCTATTCTATTCTATTCTATTCTATTCTATTCTATTCTACATTCCTTCTCTTCTCTTCTCTTCTCTTCTCTTCTACATTCCTTCTCTTCTCTTCTATTTTATTCTCCTATTCTATTCTATTCTATTCTATTCTATTCTATTCTATTCTATTCTATTCTATTCTACATTCCTTCTCTTCTCTTCTCTTCTATTCTACATTCCTTCTCTTCTCTTCTATTTTATTCTTCTCTTCTCTTCATTAGACATTCCCAGTTTGTGCAACCATTCTTCACAATTTGTAATTTTTCTTAAAGGCTAGGTTAAAACAATCGCTTTATGTTCTATAAAGTATTGTCTTCAAAACATGTATATATTTTTTTTGTCATCTCCCATTCTAGTCTTAAATTCCACTAGCGAACGCACCATCGTCCTGTTGCCATCAGTCAAGGAAGATGATGTAGACAAGGGCTCTGCAGAGCTTGAGGTCAGCATGAACGGAACCACGGTATCTTCAAGGATCTTGCGTTCCTAGAGGAGAGAAGATCGTCAAAGTTCACGAAGATTTTCGGTCATCCAGATAGAGCTACCTAGAAGTTAACTTTTTTTTTCCTTTTTGCTTTGAAACGTTTTGCTGCTTCTCCAAGTAATTTCTTCAGTCAGCTTCTTCAGTAGTTGGACAAGCCCGCCAAATATTTCAACCCCCAAAAGAAAAGAAATCCAGTTCCACTTCCAGACATAAGAGTCTTTTGAAAATGAAAGAAAAAACTAGCCTCACAAACAGAGTCAAGGATAAAGGTAGTCCTCAAATTACAATTCATTTAGTGAATTGAAAAAAGTGACTCAATCAAGCTATTTTCCAAAGCACCTGAAGGCAGGACAAGAAGCAATGGGTGGAAACTAACCAAGGAGAGAAGCAACCTAGAACAAAGGAGAAACTTCCTGACAGTGAGAACAATTAACCAGTGGAACAACCTGCCTCCAGAAACAGTAAATGCTCCAACACTGGAAGTTTTTAAGAAGAGACTGGACAGCCATTTGTCTGAAATGGTATAGGGTTTCCTGCCTGAGCAGGGAGTTGGACTAGATGACCTCCAAGGTCCCTTCCAACCTTATTATTATTATTATTATTATTATTATTATTATTATTATTATTATTATTATTCATGACCATTTTTCACCCTTATGACCCATTGCGACATCCTCATAGTCGCGTGATCTAAATTCACACACTTGGCTTCACACCTAACACAAGCACGATGACTCTCATCCAGTGAAGCAGCAGGCCCCTTTCCAAACTTCTCCCAAGGCAAAACAAAAAGAAAAAGCAAAGAAAAGATGTGGTTGCTTTAAAAATTAGATGCAACATCATGAGTTCACTCATTAAAGCACCCACATCTTTTTTTCCCCAGGTTTGCACAGCAACCTAAAGAAAAACTGGACTGTTTCAAAGAATAGCAAAGAGGCGTCGTGCTTGTACTACGTAAAAACAAAAGATGTTTCTGCTTTAAGGATTACGTGTAATTTTATGAGTTGACTCATTAAAGCGCCCGCATCTTTTTTTTTCCCAGGTTTGCTCTGAAACCTAAAGAAAAATTGGACTGTTTCAAAGAATAGCAAAGAGGTGTCGTGCTTGTACTAGGTAAAAACAAAAGATGTTGCTGCTTTAAGGATTACATGTAATTTTATGAGTTGTCTCATTAAAGCGCCCACATCTTTTTTCCCCCCAGGGTTACACAGCAACCTAAAAAAAAAATGGATTGTTCCAATGAATAGCTGAAAGGTGCCGTGATTGTACTAAGGTTAAAAACATTTCTTCAAATCCGTTCCAAATTTGCACAGCCTTATGAGACATATAGACTGGAATAAGACAAAGCGCTTGTCAATATTGTTTTATTGCTTTCACTGGTTCTTTTAGTCTGTTGGAGGGGATTAAATGACATGGGGAAAAGACCTTAATGGGAAACCTTTTAGCTCACTGAGTCACTTCTGCACAGGGCTGAATGAATTGTGCCGAAAAATTTTGTTCAAATAATAGCTTATTGTCAGGTTCCAAAAATCAAGAAAGACATGTTGACATTTTTCTCGGCCATTTCCTTTATTGTTCATTTTCCAGAGACAAAATCTAGCCAATCTGAAGATTCTACTATCTGTATTTACAAATAGCCTGGGAACTATTGGGGAGGAGTCGTCTTCACCCTCTTTCTCTCCCACAAACTATTTGAACTGAGTTGTCTTATGCTCATCTGGAATGCAGCCCCTCCCATCTGGGAATCCAGACTACATTCCACCACACTGATCGAGCTGAACCAACTAGATGTGCGTATTGAGTTGGAGGTACATTCCCCACCTGTCCACAATCACATCTCGGACTTCATACCTCTTCATAATATTTGCGCTCCTCTTCTTCAACTTCTTTCTGTGCTTTTTCCCACTCTTTTTTCAACTTCTCCTGCTCTTTCTGATACCTTTCCTAAGGAAAGAGTAGTGACGCAAGCTGTTAACCAGGAATCCTGACCGAACGGGAGGAACTGGTATTTCAACTGGATCTACGGAAGAGCTGCTAGCAAAGATTTTTCTCTCCTTTAAATCCCAAACATGCATGGAAGATGGATTTTTATTATTATTAGTGAGTTCTAGTCTTGCCTTAGACACGAAAGCCAACTGGGTGACTTTGGGTCAATCACCAGGAGACACTGAGTTCTAGTCCTGTTTTAGACATGAAAACCAACTGGGTGACTCTGGGGCAATCACCAGGAGACGGTGAGTTCTAGTCCCGCCTTAGGCATGAAAGCCAGTTGGGTGATTTTAGGCCAATCACACTCTCTCAGCCCAAACCACCTCACAGGGATTTTTTTGTGGGAAAATAGGAGGAAGAAGATGTGTTAGATATGTTAGACCAGTGGTTCTCAACCTTTTTAATGCTGCAACCCCCAACCGGTCGTAAGTCGAGGACTACTCAACTGGTGCAGCACCGTTTGCAGAATGGGACTTTTGGCGGGCTCAGCAGGGCAGAGACAGCCTGGACAATTCCTATTGGCTTTTGAAAGCCAATAGAATTAGACTCTATTCAAGAGAGTCTATTCTATTGGCTTTCAAAAGCCAATAGAATAAAAGGGAGTAGCACAGCTAAGGAAAAGGGGGAAAAAAATGGCGGACTGCGTTGTTTGGCGACCCCCGTGAAATAGTCGTTTGACCCCAAATGGGGTCCTGACCCACAGGTTGAGAACCACTGTGTTAGACACCTTGAGTTATTTATAAAAATAACCAAGGCGGGATACAAAGACATGGCCATTTCTCTTTTGTGAAAACAAACAAACATACATACATACATACATACATACATACATACATACATACATATGTCTCTGTGTGTGTGTGTGTGTGTGTGTGTGTGTGTGTATGAGAAATAACCCCAAACCGGCATCTACCTGAAGGAGGCGTTCTTGATCCTGCTGCCACCGCTCCTGGCGCCTACGTTCTTCTTCCGGGTCCCACGTCCAGCAAGCTGAACGCTTCAAAAAGTTGATCAAGTAGACAATTAGAAGCAAATTAATCCAAGTCCACTGCTTTTTCTTTACACCCAAAGCCATTCCAGGTTATCTACAGGTAGGTTTGCAAGCGCCTCTTTGGCTAACCCTTATTCCTGGACAATCGTATCTTGTCGATTTTCGATAAGGAGAATGCCAACATTTATCCCGTTTCTGCTAAATGGCTCGAATATAAGCCGTGATGCTACACGCTGTAGCATCTAGCTAGAATGAGATCAGGATCTCAACATTAGCTTACAAAGGAGGTTTAAAAAAGACATTACAGGTAATCCTCGACTTACAACCCAATCACTAACTTGGATTGCAAAGGAGAGGGAAATCAGATGGTACATATGGATGGAGAAGATAAGTCCTGTCCTAGTCATGAAAGCCAGCTGGGTGACTCTGGGCCAATCACCAGGAGATGGTGAGTTCTAGTCCCGCCTTAGGCATGAAAGCCAGCTGAGTGACTTTGGGCCAATCACCAGGAGATGGTGAGTTCTAATCCTGTTTTAGGCATGAAAGCAAGTTCAAGATTTCAAATCAGATCAACTTACATTTGGTATGTCCCTGTTCTCAGTGGCAGCTGCAGAAAAAGAAAAAAAAAACAGCTAACATTAAACTTTCAAAATTGGTTAAGTTCAACAGGTGTGTCGATTTTTCTTCTTATTATTTTTTACAGTTTCGCACCTCCCTGTGAAATCCACAAAGGATTTCCCAAACAACAAACCATTTGAAACGACAAAGCCGATAATATTCATGGTTAAAAAGGAACCTTGTCTGAAACACCAGTGAAGCCTTGTCTGCTCTGATTGTTAGATAACTGTCTCAACATCCAGCTTCGAGAATCCAAATAAAACTCCAGGTTCATTCTGTTTCTGAAAAATCTTACTGTTTATTGAACACACTGCGTGGTTTTATCGGAAGCAAAACTAACTCTGAGGTTCCAACACCAATTCATAGACTTAAACAATAAATTTCCCAGCCAAATCCCCAACGTCTTATGTAATTCATATTAACACGTTCACTTTGTTATGGGAACCGTCTGCTTCAAATCCATACCTGTTCTGGTGTCCTTGACAAGGCTTCAGGCTCTCATGGTCTTCAGCTAATCGAAGAGGTTTCGTTTCTCCATTTAACCCTCTTGAAAGTAACATCTCTCTCCCCACCCCTTAATCTAAAGGCAAGAGGAGTGTAGCTGCCCAAGTTTCATCCTTGACAACAACAGCCACAGAAACTGGTGGCGTTTGGGCTTCAAACAGATGCCACTAATGGATGGTGGACCTGGCAAACATGACATCATTTATGTTTTTTGTGGGACTGGTTTTGGGGAAAGAAACCAAAACTGGCAGATTTGTTTATACCTAGCTAGGAAATCTACCTTTTTGATCTTGTAGGGGAACGTCCTGCAAAACCCCTTGGCTTGTCTCAGGGAGCTTCTTCAGAAGAGACAAAAGTAGGTCTTCACCTTGTTTCGGAGCCTCCAAAGTTTCTATCTGGACCTGGAACAATTTGTAAAGTACATCATCAGCACATCATCAAAGTAGTACAACTACCAGACTTTTTGAGACTGTTCAGACCAGGAAACTGTAAAGCAGAACTACGTTTCATTGAGATAGGCTGCAACGGTCCTTAAGTGTGAAAAAATGGTCGTAAGCCACTTTTGTCAGTGCCATTGTAACATTGAACAGTCACTAAACGAACTGTGGAAAGCCGAGGACTGGCTGTACTGATTCTATTGATCTAAATGCTAGGGTTCCATACAAGTTACAACTGAAAACGGAGTTTTTGAACTTTTTTGGTGCGAAGAGGCCTTTGCGTGTATGTTTCTGTGTGTGCGCGCGCCTGTGCGTGCGTCGGTGAAAAAATGCACACCTCCCTTTGAGAAGGATAGCATTAACATTTCACTCGCTTCTCAGACACACATCTTAAAGTTACCTTCTGGCTAGCCGAAGCTTCTGTACCGTTCTGTTCTCCTCTTTCGAGCATTTTGGGCTCCCGAGTCGAATTCAGGCCACGGTTTGACTCTATTTCGTTGGGATGGTTGTGGACGGAAGATAGTTCCATGTGGGCCACCATGAGGTTGGCACAGGAAAACTTGGTGCTGGATTCGGTGAGGTCTGGAGCTAATCCATTAAAAAGACAAGAAAGAAAAAAAAGATAAACTGACAAAGAGTTAAAGGGAGACTGGTATAGCTATTTCGAGCTATTTAGCTCTCATCAGCTAGACATACTCTTCTGAGATTTGAACCTGGGCCTAGAGGTTAATACAGCTGCCTAACACACACATACACACAAATACACACACACTGAGACAGACAGACAGATAGATATAGATATATAGATATACCTTGAGTGCTTTTTGATGCACCCTGTCGACCCAAATATGGGAGAAAGAAATCTTTTGCCTTGTATCAGCTCAAACTAGAGCCATCCACAGGCAGCAGTCGCAACTGCGACATCATTTATATTATAAAATTTGGATTGCTAACAGGAATCTTCCCTCCCTGACACAGCTGACAAAGTGAGAAAGAGCCTGTAGCCTAGAGGTTAACACAGCTGCTTAACATGCAGACAGCCCAGGTTCGAATCTCAAAAGGGTATGTCTGGTTGATGAGAACTAAAAAGTTCGAAATAGCTATTCCATTCTCCCTTAATTCTTTGTTAGCAATCCAAATTTTATAATATATATATATATATATATATATAGATAGATAGATAGAGAGAGAGAGAGAGAGATAGGTAGATAGATAGATAGATAGATAGATAGAGTTTGATAGAGTTTCTTGATCTCAAGAAAATAACCAAGTCAGAACCAATTGCTGTGCCCCGGGGTTACGTGATCCCCTTTTTCGACGAGCAAAAGTCCATGGGTAAGCCAGATTCCCTTAACAACCAGGTTACTAGCTGAACAACTGCAGTGATTCACTTAACAACCAAGACAAGGAAGGTTGTAAAAGGGAGCAAAACTCACTTAACAACACTCGCTTAACAACAGAAATTTTGGGCTCAGTTTTGGTTGTTAAGTCAAGGACTAGTTGTATTTTCACAGAGATGAAAATCACTCTCAACCTTGTGGGTGACTCCAGGTACATACCGTGTTTTCCCGAAAGTAAGGCCTACACCAACAAGAAGCCCTAGCTTTATTTTGGGGGGTGGGCCTAATATAAGCCCTACCTCAAAAATAAGCCCTAGTTTTGAGGCAAGGTACACACCTAAACATCAAGTGGAGGTGGGGAGTTGCCTGCACCCACTTCCTTTGCAGCCAGGCCTCTCCTCGCTGGCCCACTTCTTCTTCTGAGGCCTCTTCTGCAGCCAGGCCTGCATTTCTCAGTCACGGAGCTTTCCGGAAGGCCTCTGCAGCCGAGAACTGAGCTATGGATTTAATCTGTAGCTCGGTTCTGCAAGATCTCAGCAGCTGAGCACCAAGCTATGGATTGAATCCATTGCTCGGTATTTGGCTGCTTAGGCCTTCTGGAAAGGCCTGACTGTAAAATGCAGGCCCGAATGCAGCTGCAGAACTTCGGCCCCAGAAGAAGTGGAGCCGGCTGGGTGGGGCTGTCGGTGACGGAGGTGAGGTAAGGCCTACCCCAAAAATAAGACCTGGTGCCTCTTTTGGAGGCAAAAAAAAAAAGACCCAGTCTTATTTTCGGGAAAACACGGTATTTGTAGGTTTTCATGGCATCAGTACAGAAGTAATTTGCAGCTGCTTTCTTCAACCTTCTGCTTTGGGGAATTAATTTTAAATAAAAACAAAAAACGTGCCTCATCGGGCCCAGCTACGAAAAGGCAGCCCAACTGCTTTCTTAAAATATTCTTAAAAATAATTCTTCTGAATGCTTTCCTGCATCAAGCTGAGTTAACCGCTGCGGTAATAATTGCAAACTATAAAACTAAGAGGGAGGGCATGTTTTTCCCCCCTTCCACGTTATTATTAATTTATAAGAAAATAATTACATATTGAATCCTGTAGTTAGTTAATTATACTTTCTAGCGATACCCACAATTTATACCCAAAGTTGCTAATATAATTCATTGGCATTTATTTTCTGTTGTTTCTGAATATTTCTCGGCTGGTCTTCGGGTGGCTCATTTAGCAGCTCTAGCTAACTGTCTGTAACTGAGGACTAATTGTAAACTACAGGTAACTCAATTTACCACAGTTCATTTGTGACAGTTCAAAATTAGTGAGAAAAAAATCTAAGATCAGAGAGCACGAAGGCTTCTTCTTCTTCTTTTCTTCTTCTTCTTCTTCTTCTTCTTCTTCTTCTTCTTCTTCTTCTTCTTCTTCTTCTTCTTCTTCTTCTTCTTCTTCTTCTTCTTCTTCTTCTTCTTCATCTTCTTCTTCTTCTTCTCCTCTTCTTCTTCTTCCATCTCCTCCTCCTTTCTCCTTCTCCTCTTCTTCTTCTTCTTCTTCTTCTTCTTCTTCTTCTTCTTCTTCTTCTTCTTCTTCTTCTTCTTCTTCTTCTTCTTCTTCTTCTTCTTCTTCTTCTTCTTCCTCCTCCTCCTCCTCCTCCTCCTCTTCCTCCTTTCAGTAAAACCCACTCCCTTCTGACACTGATGATGTAACCAAGTTGAGTTATAAAACATCTGCAGGAAAACCACCAAGCTCAGAGAGCACCAAGGACCTCACAGGTCAACCCTGAGCTACAAATATTCTCTTCTATTGCTACATTACATGTTTACTGTTCTTTAAAAATGGAAAAACCTACCCAGAAACATTTCTTCCGAATCAGTTCTCTCTTTTTGGCTGGCTGTTTCAGGTTCTTCCATCAAGGAGTCCTGCAGAAAACATGGAATTCATGGTTAAAGCAGAAGCCAAAGAAAAGGTGGCTTATTTATTACACTTATATCCTGCGAAAATCAAATGACTCTCTATAGTTTGCATAAGCTTTTAGGATTCAATAACTTGGCACTTCTGTTTAGGGAATTCTGTTTAGAATAGAATAGAGTAGAGTAGAGTAGGGTAGAGTAGAGTAGAGTAGAGTAGAGTAGAGTAGAGTAGAGTAGAGTAGAGTAGAGTAGAGTAGAGTAGAGTAGAATATGGGAATTAGAATAGAGTAGAGTAGAGTAGAACAGAACAGAATAGAGTAGAATATGGGAATTAGAGTAGAGTAGAGTAGAGTAGAGTAGAGTAGAGTAGATTAGAGTAGAGTAGAGTAGAGTAGAGTAGAGTAGAGTAGAATATGGGAATTAGAATAGAGTAGAGTAGAACAGAACAGAACAGAATAGAGTAGAATATGGGAATTAGAATAGAGTAGAGTAGAGTAGAGTAGAGTAGAATAAACAGAGTTGGAAGGGACCTTGTAGGTCTTCTAGTCCACTCTCCCCCCCGTCCAAGCAGGAGACCCTACACCATTTCTGACAGATGGCAGTCCAGGCTCCTGCTAACCCAAGTATTTGGCCCTTACAACTTGCTCTCTGCGTACACCGTGTTCGATTAAGCGCTTCTGATTGAGTTCAGGAGTGGTGGGATCTGCGCTTCCCTCCATGGATCCACCAGGCCGTTCGACCACGTGGTCAGACTTGGTTGAAAGGCTGGGGGAAGGTTCAAACAGAAGGGCTGAGCACTCCTTGTCTGGCTCTCCTTCCACTCCGTTGCTCACTTCTCCATTCACCGTGATCTTCCCCTCGACCTGCATTTCAAAACCCAAAAGCAGATGGATTAAGGCTCTGAAAACATCTTTGATTAGTTCTAATGAGAAGGAAAATGGAATGTGGTTACGACTACAAAACTGCACTCTCCCTATCAAGCTATTATCTAACTCTCTCTCTCATCTATCTAGAAGACTTAATCAATTAGTTGTAACTATCAAAGTTGTTCCTTTCTTTGCATTATCTATCTATCTATCTATCTATCTATCTATCTATCTATCTATCTATCATCTGTATCTATCTGTATCTATCTATATATATTTCTCTCTCTATCTAGCCATCCATCCTATCTAGCCATCTAGCCATCTAGCCATCTATCTATCTATTATCTATCTATCTATCATCTATCTATCTATTTATCATCTCTCTCTCTCTATCTAGCCATCCATCCTCTCTCTCTCTCACTATCTATCTATCATCTCTATCTATCTATCTATCTATCTATCTATCTATCTATCTATCTATCTATCTATCCATCCATCCATCCATCCATCCATCCACCATCATCTATCATCTCTGCTTGTCTATCTGTGTACATCTGTCTATTCACATCTATCATCCATCATCTATCATGTCTGTCTGTGTCTGTCTGTCTGCCTATCTCTTTCTCTGTCTCTCTCCCTCCCTCCCTCCCTCCCTATCTATTAAACTTGTAAAGTCTACTGTCCATTGGCTGGAGGCCTTTTTCTTTTCCTCTCTCAACCCACCTTGAAGTTTCTCAAAATCTCCTGGGTGTCTTTCGGCTGGGCGTAAGGCTTGGGCGTCACCAGTGGCACAGCCATGGAGCCCGGGGCTCTGCTTGAGGAGGGGGAGCCGGTGGGCGTGTTGCCATCTGATCCGCTGGTGGGGGTGATGGTGGCTTCAAACGTGGAAGTGAATTTTGGGGCCGGGAGCGACTGCTGCCGTAAGTATTGGAGGGGATTGGGGCCCTTGGACGAGGAGGGCGAATTTGGCTCTGCGGAATGGCTTCTTTCCAAAAGCTTTGGCATCTCCAGGCGTTCAAGGACGGCTTCGCTAATGGTGAACCTCTCGATGTAATGTTGGAGTATATTGTACGCCTCTTCCTGAGAGCTGGCGTTCTTGTAGGCTTCGTGAAGTTCCCTTTCACGCTTCTCCCTGTTTCGAGGGGAGCAGAAACAAGATGGCGGAAGGTTTACTGAACTTCCTCACGGCGTTCCAAAAAGGCGTCTTCGCTTTCAAAAGGCAACTGGAGTTCCTTGGGTTGTTCTTTTTTTTTCTTCTTTGAAAATGTTCCGAGAACTGAAGAAGCTCCTCGGATGAGAAGCGAAATATTTTCAAAGGAAAAAACAACAACAACAACAAGAAAAGTCCAGTTGCGACGGCAGTAAGACTGCTCCATGCACAAAAAAAAAAAATGGAAGGATGTTTCGATTCCCACCATGGACGAAGGGCTACAAAAGCTGGTGGAATTAGCGGAGAATTAGCTGAACGGAGCGTTTCAATAAAAAGAAAAGAATATAAGTACTTTTGTTTCTACTTGGAAACCGCTTCTGGGCTTTGTGCTTGAGCTGGAAAAAAAACCGATGCTATGATTTGGGGTTTTACTGATTAGATGGATTTGCTGATCTAGAAATGGCTAGTTCACACTTCTATAGACATGTAAAAAGTCGAGGTTCGACCTTAATGTCTTATTTTACTGCAACAGAGGGGGTGTCCCTCACCCCCTTTTCCACACGTCTCTTTTTCCCCTTCCCCTACCATTGTTCCTTTACTATTTGCTTTTGTATTTTGGTGTTTTTATAAGTGAATACAAATCTTTTTTTAAAAAAAGAAAGAAAAAAGAAAAGTCCAGTTGCCTTTTGAAAAAGAATCTTGGGAAGAAGACTGCAGAATTAACATCTGGACCCCAAGTGGGCAACCGTGTAGGAGAAAGAAAGCCCAACTTTTGTCTCGTGAGCAGTTGCAAAGTAACGATGCCCTTCTGCTACTCTACAGACCCTTATATTTAGAGTCATAGCAAGTACTGAGCATATTGGAAAACTACCATGTGGAGCAGAAGATCAGGACGAATGCTTTTTACTGATCTGTCTATGGAGATGTTCAGTCATCCAGGTGCTTTTTCACGAGGCACTTGGACTTTCTTGTTTTTCTTTGAAGATGTTTCGCTTCTCATCTAAGAAGCTTCTTCGGCTCGGACTGGATGGTGGGGGATGGAAGGATTGATACTCCCTGAAGACAGCTGGTCATTTGCCGAGTCGTTGAGGCCACCTGGAGGTTTGTCAGGGTGTTTTCTGCCCTGTGTCCCTTCACTCTGCAGCCAAGAAGTCTCCACACCCATTGGCACCACTCAGGTGACCCTGAGGACACAGACAAGCCTCCAAGTGGCCTCAATGACTCTCTAAAAAGATGCAAATGACCAGCTGTCTGCAAGGAGTATAAATCCTTCCCTTCCCCACCATCCAGTCAGAGCTGAAGAAGCTTCCGGGATGAGAAGCAAAACGTCTTCAAAGAAAAATGAGAAAGTCCAGTTTCCTCCTGAAAAAGCTTCTTTGGGAGAAGGATGAAAGGGAAAGAGGAAAAGGAGGAGGAAGAAGGGATGGAAGGAAGAAAGGAGAAGATAGGAGAGAGAGAGAGAGACAGACAGACAGACAGAGACAGACAGAGAGACACAGAGAAAGAGACAGAGAGAGAGAGAGAGGAGGAGGAGGAAAGAAAAAGGAAGAGGAGGTGAAGGATAAGGGAAAGGGAAAAAAAGAAGAGGAAGAAGAAGAAGAAGAAGGAAGAGGAGGAGGTTTTTTTCAAATGGCCTCAACAACTACTCTAAGAGAAGGCAAAAGGACCAGCTGTCTGCAAGCAATATAAATCCTTCCCTTCCCCGCCATCCAGTCAGAGCTGAAGAAGCTTCTGGGATGAGAAGTGAAACATCTTCAAAGAAAAATAAGAAAGTCCAGCTGCCTCCTGAAAAAGTATCTTTGGGAGAAGGATGGAAGAGGAAGAGGAGGAGGAAGATGGGAGGGAAAGAAGGAGAAGGGCAGAAGAAAAAGAGACAGAGAGAAAGAGAGAGACAGAGAAAGAAAGAAAAAGAAAGAAAAGGAGGAGGAAGAGGTGAAGGATAAGGGAAAGGGAAAGAAAGAGGAAGAAGAAGAAGGAAGAGGCCTTTTCAAATGGCCTCAATGACCCTCTAAAAGAATGCAAATGACTAGCTCTCTACAAGGAGTATAAATCCTTCCGTTCCCCACCCTCCCGTCAGAGCTGAAGAAGCTTCTGGGATGAGAAGCGAAATGTCTTCAAAGGAAAAACAAGAAAGTCCAGTTGCCTCCTGAAAAAACCTTTGAGATTTTTACTATTTCTTCTTTGATGGACAACTCAAGCCCTGATGTTCTACACACACACACACACACACACACACACACACACACACACACACACACACACCTGCAGCCAGCCTATGCTTTAGATTCCAAGAGGCATGATGTAATAACACCTTTTACAAACACAGAACTTGGGCCACAAGGCAAATATGTCCAGACTGTCGGATCCTTGGGGCTGTCTGAACTTGGTTGTTTTCTTGCAGATGTTGTGTTTACCCAGCTAGGTAACCACATCTGTGCTACAGCGGAGTAGGATTTGCTCTGAGGGTGTTACCTAGTTTGAGTCATGAAACTTCAGCAAGATAACCACCAAGCTCAGAAAGCAGCAAACACAGTTCAACTCTGAGTTACAAATATTCTTTTCGATCCATATCTGGACCATCATTTCTTTAGCCATGGTTTCAGAATATGCCACAATTGCCTGGGCTCATTCACGCACTCAACTCAACCCGTATTATGATCTGGTGTGCCTTCTGCAACCCGCCTTTGCTTCCTTAAGGCTAACGTACTTCTCCTCCACAATCTCTCGATACGTCTTGATGCTCTTCCTTCTCTCACTGTTTCCCTCTCCTCCAATGAGTAGCTGCTCCATCTTCTTCCTCTCGGCTTCTTTTTTCAGCAAGTCCTGGGAAGCACTCCTACGACGGGTTTTCCACCGGGCTAAATCCTACATAAAATCACGGAGTGGAGGCAAAGGAAAAAGAAATACCCAACAACATAAACATAAATTTTGAGCGCAGTTGTGGTGGTAAGTCAAGGACTACCCGTATTTCAGTGGGAGACTGCCAAAGTTCCAGGCCTTCGGGCCAAACTGGCCAAACTTCGGGCCTTCAGGCCAAACTGTCAAATTTAAAAAAAAAAAGAGCAGGAGATACCATCCCATCCCAGTCAAATGGTTGCCCAGTCTTAACGAAGAGAAGGACAAAGGGGGACATGATAGCAGTATTCCAATATCTCAGGGGCTGCCATAAAGAAGAGGGAATTAAGCTATTTTCCAAAGCACCTGAAGGCAGGACAAGAAGCAACGGGTGGAAACTAATCAAGGAGAGAAGCAACCTAGAACTAAGGAGAAACTTCCTGACAGTGAGAACAATTAATCAGTGGAACAGCCTGCCTCCAGAAGCAGTAAATGCTCCAACACTGGAAGTTTTTAAGAAGAGACTGGACAGCCATTTGTCCGAAATGGTGTAGGGTTTCCTGCCTGAGCAGGGGGTTGGACTAGATGACCTCCAAGGTCCCTTCCAACTTTACTACTATTTTACTATTACTATTTCTAAACACCTCCATGTGGAGCACATGTAATGTCGGGAGGCAAGTTGTTCCTCTGATTAATTGTTCTAACCATCGGGAAATTCCTCCTTAGTTCCAGGTTGCTTCTCTTCTTGGTTAGTTTCCATCTGTTGCTTCTTGTCCTGCCTTCGGGTGCTCTGGAGAATAAGTGAACCCCCTTTCTCTGTGACAGCCCCTCAGGTATTGGAAGACAGTTATTGTGTCTTTTGGATCCGTCTCTTCCATACACTAGACATATGTCTAGCTGTCTCAATGGTTCATCGTAATATAACAACAACAACAGAATTGGAAGGAACCTTGGAGATCTTCTAGTCCAACCCCCTGCTCTAGCATTTCAGACAAATGGCTGTCCAGTTTCTTCTTAAAGACCTCCAGTGATGGAGCACTCACAACTTCTAAAGGCAAGTTGTTCCACTAATTAATTGGTCTCACTGCCAAGAAGTTTCTCCTTAGTTCTAGGTTTCTTCTCTCCTTGATTAGTTTCCATCCATTGCTACTTATCCTGCCTTCTGGTGCTTTGGAGAACAGCTTGATCATCTCGTCTTTGGGGCAGCCCTTCAAATATTGGAAGACTGCCATCACGTCACCCCTGGTCCTTCTCTTCATTAGACTAGAGACATACCCAGATCCAGCAACCGTTCTTCGTACATTTTATCTGGCAGTCCCCTAAACATCTTTGTTGTTCTTCTCTGCACTCTTTCTAGAGTCTCAACATCTCTTTTTTGATCGTGGCGACCAAAACTGGACGCCGTATTCCAAGTGTGGCCTCACCAAAGCATTATAGAGTGGCATTAAGACTTTACGTGATCTTGATTCTATTGATTATTGTGCCTGTAATTTAAACGTGGTCTGCCAAGGCTCTATGATAGCAACTAGCTCTGACTACCATGTCTCTACAGACCCCCTACTCACATCTTGCCACTGATCCTCGTCTTCCTTCAGCTGGTGATGAACGATCTGAAGCTTTTCATGGCGAGCTTTACTGTGAGGTTGATTCACAGCACCCTCGTCTGGACATCTCATGTCGAACATGCTCACGCTCCTGAAAGGAAAGAATTAGTTTGTCAACAGTGGACTTTGAAGATTTTAGCCACAGGAGGGGGCTGGAAGGAAGTGCAATGGATCTGCTTCCATGGAAAGCTGTGAAGTTCCTTAGCTTAAGATGCCTTTGGCCAGACACACCTAAGAATCAGATATCCTTAGGCCAGGGGTGGGAAACCGTGGCCCTTTTACGACGCGTGGACTTCAACGCCCAGAATTCCTGAGCTGGCTCAGGAATTCTGGGAGTTGAAGCCCACGCGTCGTAAAAGGGCCACGGTTCCCCACCCCTGCTTTAAGTGGAAGTGCTCAGAAGCAGCCATACGAGTAACATACGTGCAAGTTGGCCGCTTAAGCCAAACCGAAGCACGTCCAAAGCAATTCTTGTGCTCAACGCGATTGCATGAATTGGGCACAATCCTCTATAGACAGCCTTGTTCAATTTCTCAACTGTCCCTTCTTTTGGGTTGAAAAACGTCAAAACTCATTGCTTGCCCCGGTGATTTTCAAACTTTACTGGAAGGCTTACTGAAGATTTACTCATATAATGGAGAGGCTGGCTGTGGAATTCTGGGAGTTGAAGTCCACCTGCCTTAAAATGGTCAAGGTTGAGAAACACTGATAGAAATTCACTGATAGTGCCATCAATTCTTCACCTCTGCAGGGGTAACCTGGATCTGTGCAGGCCGCGTTGAACCCAGCCTGGTTCAGCTAAGTCCCTGTGGCTTACCGGCCTCCTGTTAAATCACCGACTTTGAGCCAGAATTTCTGGTTTTCAATGCATTCAAAGTTTCCTAACTGAGGTGTAGTGAAACGGGTATAAAAATGGGAAAGAAGGACAGAGGAATTTGATTCTGACTTCACGCAGCACGAGAGATTGCAAGAAGTCTTGAATGATTATCCCAAATGAGGGGAGTGTGTGTGAGATCTGATGGATTCTCTATGGAGATGCTCATTCATCCAAGTCATGGTTGTTCCAAAAGGCAATTCAACTTTCTTGGGGTTTTTTCCCCCCTTCTTCTCATCCAAGAAGCTTCTTCAGAACTTGCGAAGCTGAAGAACTGAAGTCAGTTCTTGGATCAGAAGAGAACCGTTTTCAAGGGGAAAAAAAATCAAGAAAGTCCAGTTGTTTTTTGAAGAGCACCTTTGGGACATGGAACTGGGTTGTGTTCTAAATGCACTGACTACAAGCCCTAGTTGACTCCAAGTCCTAGAACAGTGGTTCTCAACCTTTTTAATGCCGCGACCCCCAACTGGTCGTAAGTCGAGGACTACTCAACCGGTCGTAAGTCGAGGACTACTCAACTGGTGCAGCACCGTTTGCAGAATGGGACTTTTGGTGGGCTCAGCAGGGCAGAGACAGCCTGGACAATTCCTATTGGCTTTTGAAAGCCAATAGAATTAGACTCTATTCAAGAGAGTCTATTCTATTGGCTTTCAAAAGCCAATAGAATAAAAGGGAGTAGCACAGCTAAGGAAAAGGGGGAAAAAATGGCGGACTGCGTTGTTTGGCGACCCCCGTGAAATGGTCGTTCGACCCCAAATGGGGTCCCGACCCACAGGTTGAGAACCACTGCCCCAGAAGGCGCTGATAGAGATGACCTGTCCACCTGGTTCCTATTCCACCAACAGGCACCATGGACAGCCTTCAGGATCAAAAAATGTCTCAGCCCAGAATATACTGTATTTCATAAAACTTTCTCCCAAAGTAGAAAGTTTGAAAAGAGCCTTAGAAAGCAGCCATGAGTTACATATGTACCTCTCAAATTCTGAAATATTTGCAATGATTACTATATAATAGAGATAGTGAAATTACACTCTCTAGAGACACTCTAAAAGAGACAGTTGAGAAGAACATAGTAGCTACTATTTTAGGTTAAAATGCCAACAGTGAGTAAGCTGAGGTCGCCATCTCTCTATTGAACGCACATGCAGAAAGGTCGATTTTGTTATTTTGTTAAGGGTAAGATCCTGGAAAACTCATACATTATAAAACAATGAACAATTTTTCTATTCTATGACAATTTGTCTTGCACGATGAAGCTACAAAGCTGGTTACGAATGTTAAGCAAGATGAAAGATTACATTGCAAAGTAGAACAACTCAAAGACACCCTATGCAGCTCATTGATTTTCAGGACTGGCACATATAGACAGAATTTCTTTTTTCTTTTTTTTTTTGGTAGAAATGCAGGTTAATGTTATAAGCACATCAACTTCATGAGGTGATCCTTATATGAACTGAAACAGCTCTAGTGAAATAGATCAAACACCAAGCGGAGATCATTTTATTACTGTGTGGAATTTCAATCTATTTTGCTAGATCGTTGCTAAGCATTTGCAAACATGATCCTAACTTTCTAAGTATCCAATCACACTTGGCCAATAAAGAACTCTCTATTCTATTCTACTCTACTCTACTCTACTCTTTATTCTTAGTAAGATTCTATTCTGTTCTGTTCTTAATAAAGATTCTATTCTCAATAAAAATTCTATTCTATTCTAGTAACAACAACAACAACAATAATAATAAAGTTGGAAGGTATCTTGGAGGTCATCTAGTCCAACCCCCTGCTCAGGTAGGAAACCCTATACCATTTCAGACAAATGGCTGTCCAGTCTCTTCTCTTCTCTTCTCTTCTCTTCTCTTCTCTTCTCTTTTCTTCTATTATTTATTCTTAGTAAGATTCTATTTTGTTCTGTTCTTAATAAAGATTCTATTCTATTCTCAATAAAGATTCTATTCTATTCTATTCTATTATTTATTCTTAGTAAGATTCTATTTTATTCTGTTCTCAATAAAGATTCTATTCTATTCTCAATAAAGATTCTATTCTATTCTATTCTATTCTATTCTATTCTATTCTATTCTATTTGCAATACAGATTCTATTCTGTTCTGTTCTTTATTGAAAAAAAAAAGGCCAGTTATCTCTAATAAACTCTTAGGAGTATTACAGATCTGCAGTCATATTTTGCAGACATAGCATGTCTCAAAGTCAGCATTAATGTATGTCCATTTATCTTCTAATTAAACTCAGCCCAAAATTGGAATAAAGGCCATTAACAAAATTAAGAATGGTTTCAATTTAAGAGAGAGAGAGAGAGAGAGAGAGAGAGAGAGAGAGAGAGAGAGAGAGAGAGAGAGAGAGAGAGAGAGAGAGAGAGAGAGAGAGATTTTGGAGACAGACTAACAGAATGGTTATCCCTTTCCTGCTTCCAGTTGGCACGGATTATCTGCCACATTTATTTATTTAAGATCCTAGTTCAGAAAAAAGAAGAAGTTATTTTTAAAACGTGTTCCCAATGCAAAAATGTGTAAGCATTATCAGTCGCTTTGATGTGGAAAAGCACAACAATGTTTCTGTCTCTACAAAACGATTTGGGGTTTGGCTACAGGATGGAGCTAAACTGCTTTAAGGAAAAAAATAATAATTCTTTTTAAGGAACTGGTCTTATTAGCAGGAGAAAATTCGTAGGTTTGAAGGCTACACAGCCATGGTTCCATCTTCAATGTAAGAAGTCTAGTTCCTTTTAATCATCCCAGGCCCCACAGAGCTTAAAAACAACAATCACATCGTGAATTAGCAAAAGCTTGGTTTTCTTCCAGCCATTGCATGCTTTGCTGCTTTTAGGAAAGTTAGGACTTTAATGCCACAGCCGACGTATACGTTAAAAGCGCAGAAGGACAAGGAAAGCAGGAGAATTGAAGGGAACCAGCTGCATTTTAAATTAGTAGTAAGTACAGATAGCATGCAGCTTGAGTGGTTTTCAGGTACCCAAACACACAACAACTTACTCTGCCTCATCAGACACAGGGGTTCGGCAGCCGGATCTATAAAATCAAATATAAAGTTAGAGACGCTGGGCCGGGACGGTAACGAAGCATTCAATTTGGGCATTGGCCGCAGTGAAAATGATCACTTTTCCTCTGAAACGGAAGCTTAAAAAGGCAGGAGAGCATTAACACGTCAGAAAAACACGCATGCAATAGAACTTTGTTCTCTCTCTCTCCGTAGAACGTTGATTTTTTTTTTCTTCAAGCAGTGTTCTTTTTAATTAACCCAAATGTTTAGAATTCGGAATTATCCTGTTAGCAAGCCACACCGTGCAAGGCCGAAAGCAGTTCCTAATAGATAAGCTGAGAAAATAAAAGCAATAATAATAATCATAATAATCATATACAGGTAGTCCTCAGGGGAGGCCGACATTTCTGCTGCTAAGCAAACATTTGCTAAGTGAATTTTGCCTCGTTTTTGCGTGGATCACTGCAGTGGTTAAATTAGTAACACGGTCACTAAATGAATCTGCTTTCCTCCGTGGACTTTGCTCGTTGAGACGCTCGCAAAAGGGGATCACGTGACTCCCCCCGGAACACGGCGACCGTCATAAACACGAGTTGGTTGCCAAGTCTGAATTTTGATCACGTGACCGCGGGGAAGCTGCGACGGTCGTAAGTGTGAAAAACGGTCCTGTGTCACTTTTTCCCCAGTACTGTTGTAACTTTGAACGGTCACTAAATGAACCTTTGAAGAATCGAGGACTACCTGTGTTGCTGAGATCAGCCACCCATGCAGTTACTACACGTGTCCTATTATGATAATTAATGCGTACAGGGATCCACAACTTTACCCTGTAGCGCTTGAGGGATCCTGCAAGCGAAAATACCGTGTTCTATTTCTGCAAGATTCTATAATTTATAAGCTGCAATTTGCAGATCTCCAGAGGAGAATCCCGGTGACTTAAGTTTACACTGAATTTTTCAAGAATATTATCAGTTTTCTTGAACTGCCGTTCACCCAGCCCAATGGCTGGGCTCAGCGTAGATTTATTAACCACAAAGGCTCATTACCAGCCTACATGCATGTTAATACACAACCCCACACACTGGGTAGCCTGCACAACACACTTTTATATGGACATTAGGAATTGGGCAAAGGCTCACATCTGCAAAGGGTCAGCGTCTCGTGTCGCCAGTTGTTTGCTACTGAGTCCGAGACGTTTCTGCATCTCTGGCTGGATTATGTTGGGGTCCAATACATTCTTATCAACATCCTCTGGTGCTAAGCCTGCCACACTACGCCTGTGGTGTTCCAGTGTGTACTCGGGCTGCGTCGCAACGCTTTGAGCGATCTCTGCGCAAAACGGTTCAGCTCTTACCGAATCCGTCGCAAGGACGCTAAAAAAAGACTCGGTTTTAGATGGCAGTGGGGACACAGCACGGATCTTTCAATCTCCAATCCACGGAGCCAAGGACTGACGTTATGTCACAGAGCATGCATTAAAAACAACAACAACGAGAAAATGTCGAAAAAACAGGAAGAGTTTAAGCCAGAATTATTTTTGTTAGGCGTAATTGTAGGAAATTATGAGAAAGAGTGTATATATTTAATTTTACGTATATTAACTGCAAGTGTAGGAAGAATTGTATTGGAAAAATGAAGATTTACCAACGGAGGAAGTGTTAATTAAAAAAAATCTTAAGACGGTGCAAAAATGGATAGATTGACATTGAAAATGAAAGAGAAAGAAGATTCCGTTTATTTTAGAACATGGGATGCCTTTTATCATTGGCTAGAAAAAACGAGGTAGAGAGAAAGGAACTTAATATGTATTAGCAAGCTAGGTATTGAAATCCAGACAATATGTTGCTGACAAAATATCAAGCACTTGTGATTATAAAAATACTAATATCTATCTATAACTAGATAGATAGATAGATAGATAGATAGATAGATAGATAGATAGATAGATAGATAGATAGACATAGATATGATAGATAGAGAGAGAGAGACAGACAGAGAGATAGAGATAGATATAGATAGATAGATAGATAGATAGATAGAGTTATAAGATAGATAGATATAGATAGATAGAGAGATAGACAGACAGAGATAGATAGATAGACATAGATATAAGATAGATAGATAGAGATAGACAGAGATAGATAGATAGATAGAGACAGATAGATAGATATAGATATAAGATAGATAAATAGATAGATAGATAGATAGATATAGTTACAAGATAGATAGATAGACAGACAGACAGAGAGATAGATAGATAGACAGAGAGATAGATAGATAGACATAGATATAAGATAGAGATAGATAGACAGAGAGATAGAGAGAGAGATAGATAGATAGAGACAGATAGATAGATAGAGACAGATAGATAGATAGATATAGATATAATATAGATAGATAGATAGATAGATAGATAGATAGATAGATAGATAGATAGATAGATTTTAAAAAATCACAAAAGCACCGTATTTTTCAGCAATTGTACTTGTGAGCGCCATCCAGGCAGAAGAGAGACATCTATCCAATCTAACTGAAGATGACTGTGAATTGGGTTATTTTTTTTTACAGGAGACCGGCACCAACAAATTGCACGTTGGCTTTAATGAAAGGAATACTTTTTTGGGGATCGCTACATTATGGGTGGCCACCGTATCACTGAGACCATAAATGGTACAGGGGGAAATAAAAAGACCCCTGTCAGCCAAAGATAGAAACAGGAGCAAATGAACAATTGCTACACCAGCGGATTCCATCTGCACCTCCTTTTTCCCTGTCAGTTTTGTTGCTTTGCATCCCCTTTAACAGATTATAAGAATAGATGGGGAAGAGGGGGTGGGGGACCCCAAAATAAGTGTCTGACCTCTTCACTTGCTGTCCAGTCCTTATAAACTCTTCCTCCCTGTTGTGTTGCTTGGAGAAATGAACAGGAATCAACTGACTGACGCATGATTCAGCCTGCTTTGAAAGACCTTCCGTTCTTCTCACCATAACATCACCTTTCTCCGGATTCTGAAATCCCACCTTCTCACGCTCTGGATCCCTTTTCTGCTCATTTTGATCTTTTGATATAAATGAAGGTGCTCCGTGACCAGGTGGCGTCACGCAAAGCAACGAGACATTTCTGTTAAAGCAATCGTGAGCAGCGTTATTCTAGCAGAAGACCAAAGCTGATCCTACAGAACTGCATGCAACTACAGGCTTACAATCCCAATTTTCATCGCTAAGCGAGGCCAGTGCTTTTGCCCCAGTTTACGACCACAGGGGTTAAGCGAATCACTGCCGTTGTTAAGTGACTTGTGCAGTCTTTAAGTGAGTCTGGTTTCCCCTGTTGACTTTGCTAGTTGGAAGCCATTTGGGAAGGTGACAAATCACCCAACACTGGGATGCTATCATAAGGAAACGCCAGTTGCTAAGCAGCCAGATTTGGACCATGTGACTACAGGAATGCTGCAATGGTCGCTAAGTGTGAAAAAACAGCCACGCATCATTTTTTAGTGCTGCCATAACTTTGAACGGCCACTAAATGAGTGGCTGTAAATTGAGGATGACCCGTAGTCTGTTTTAAAACCTGAGGAACAGGTAGAATTCGGGCGTGGGAAACAGAGCCCTGTTTCCCTGCGTCCGTGTTGCCGTGACATCACAACTAGAGGTCTAGAACAGCTCTAGAATGCCTGATGCTTATAAGGCACTAACGTTGAGCATGTTTTATCCTGGGGAGTCCATGTATTTTAAGCTCTTTGCAAACTCACAATAGGGTACGCCAAATTCCTTTTTGGCCAGTGGTTCTCAACCTGTGGGTCGGGACCCCATTTGGGGTTGAACGACCATTTCACGGGGGTCGCCAAACAAGGCTGTCCGCCATTTTTTCCCCCTTTTCTTTGGCCACGCCCCTGGCACCCGATGATGTATAAGTGGTTGGGGGTCACCACAACATGGGGAACTGTATTATGGGGTCGCGGCATTAGAAAGGTTGAGAACCACTGTTTTAGGCAATCCCCAGTGTAATAAACAAGTAAATAAGTACACATAGATACAAATCAGAACAACATTCATTATACGAACTTGATTTCGTTGTGAGTTACGCAATGACAATAAAGATATTCTATTCAATGCTTAGCAGCTGCAAAAATTTTTTGGAGAAATGAACTTAACGATGCTAAACCCAAACAGAATAAAATGATACTAGTCACAACTCCCGCTTTCTTTTCAGCTTCTGCGGAGCACAACAAGCAAATAAACACAAACTTAGGTTTACCACTGTGACGTTTTCCCTTGGCTGCTGGCGTAAAGCTTTGGGAAAACTAAATTAACACGTGGTCATTTTTCTGTACGTCTCTCGTATTGGTAAACTTTTTACCGTACTGATTATCTTCTGCTAGAATATTATGGCAACCGGTTCGTTTTGACTGACCGCCCCCCATTTCATTTCATCCTTTCTACTTAAGGAACAGAACACAAAACCCTCAATTAAAACCTTCCATGCAAAAATAGGCACAAGACGCTCACAATAACCTTTCTGTTTTTTCTGCTTTTTGCCGAAGTTTCGGCTCACTCTGACCAGCCACTTTTCTTTGGCGCTTCGATGGAGAATTACAAATCGCTACTTGGCTAGCTGGGAGAAGAGAACTAATCGATTTCGGAAAAGTCCCGAATCTTCTAACCATCATATCATCTCTTTCAAGGTCTGGCAAGCGATCATCCGATTCTTCTTCGCTATTTTCATGCCATTCATCCAGACCGCTAGGTTGTTGCCTCTGGGCATCCGCGCAAGCATCCTGGACTGAGGAATTACACCCTTCTGAATGGGACAGTATTATTTCTCTAACACAGGAGAGGAGGAGGAGAGAGGGGGAGAAATAATGAGGACCACATGGAAAGGCAAAGAAGAAACTTTGACTTAAACCAAGATCACGTGAAGTATTAATACCACTTTACAATGCCTTGGTAAGGCCAAACTTGGAATACTGCATCCAGTTTTGGTCACCATGATGTAAAAAAGATGTTGAGACTCTAGAAAGAGTGCAGAGAAAAGCAACAGAGATGATCAGGGGACTGGAGGCTAAAACATATAAGGAACGGTTACTGGAATTGGGTATGTCTAGTTTAAGGAAGAGAAGGACCAGTGGGGACATGATAGCAGTGTTCCAATCTCTCAGGGGCTGCCCCAAAGAAGAGGGAGTCAAGCTATTTTCCAAAGCCCCAGAAGACGCAACGGATGGAAACTAATCAAGGAGAGAAGCAACCTAGAACTAAGGAGAAACTTCCTGACAGTGAGAACAATTAACCAGTGGAACAACTGGCCTCCAGAAGTTGTGGGTGCTCCATCACTGGAGGTTTTTAAGAAGAGACTGGACAGCCATTTGTCCGAAATGGTGTAGGGTTTCCTGCCTGAGCAGGGGGTTGGACTTGATGACCTCCAAGGTCCCTTCCAACTTTATTATTATTATGGATCATCGCACAGTCAGCCAGATGTTCAGACTGGATTTGGCATTTTGTCTACCTATCGAGTCCTTACCCAGGACCTGGGATAGGCAAATGTGGATGTTTGATGGTATTACAGATATCGTCGCAGGATGGAAGCAGTTCCTAGTAAGGCTGCCTTTTGCAATTGACTAATAGCGAATTTGTCAATGCCATATTATTATTATTATTATTATTATTATTATTATTATTAACCATCTTCTCTCTCATAAGTAACATCAAGAGCTTAACAGTAGCATCAAAAGCAGATTTGCACCCACATCCAATAATAATGGGAAGCTTAGCAAATGTGAATACTTTGCTTTCTACCTCACCCAGAAAAAGAGAGAAAACAACAACAACAAGACAACAGCATGGACCACTTTTAAGATGTACATTTCAAACGTTTCCTGAATGAAAAACAGGGTTTTTCCTTAATAGATCACTTTCAAGAGCGGATTGCAATTTTGTACTGTTCTGCCAGGAATGAAAGAAAGCACATGAATATTGTCAAAAAAAAAAACAAAAAAACTCAACCCAAATATTTTGGAATAAAGAGCATGGAAAACCTCGTCAAGGGACTAAATTGGCTGAATTGATTGCTTTGATTAAAGAAAAGAACACAATTAATTTTGTTTCTACTTGGAAACCGCTTCTAGACTTGGTGCTTTGAAGTGGGGGGAAAAAATTAAACTTTGATTTTGGGTTTTACTGATTAGATAGGCTTGGTGTTCTAGTATGTATTATATAAAAGTAAAAAGTTGAGGTTTTATGTTACTACTTTATTCTACTGCACCAAAAGGAGTGGGAAGTCAATGCTTTCCCCCCCTCTACCTTACACTTTTTTCTCTTCCCCTATTTTACTTTTATTTTCATTTCTCTGTATATTTTTGTATTTTTATGCTTTGATAAATTAATAAAATTTTGAACCCTAAAAAAAGAGAGAGAGAGAGAGAGAGAGACAGAATCTTGCCAAAAGGACGTCACAATGTGAAATCTATCATGATAATCTAGCCATCATCTCTTACGATTGATTAAATAATCAA